ATCCCAGCACTTTGGGAGGCTGAGGCGGGTGGATCACAAGGTCAGGAGATTGAGACCAGCCTGGCCAATATGGTGAAACCTGGTCTCTACTAAAATACAAAAAATCGGGCGTGGTGGTGTGCACCTATAAACCCAGCTACTTGGGAGGCTGAGGCAGGGGAGTCGCTTGAACCTGGGAGGCAAAGGTTGCAGTGAGCTGAGATTGATCGAGCCACTGACTCCAGCCTGGCAACAGAGCAAGACTGTCTCAAAAAAAAAAAAAAGAAGGCCGGGCACGGTGGCTCAAGCCTGTAATCCCAGCACTTTGGGAGGCCGAGGCGGGTGGATCACGAGGTCAAGAGATCGAGACCATCCTGGTCAACATGGTGAAACCCCATCTCTACTAAAAATACAAAAAATTAGCTGGGCATGGTGGTGCATGCCTGTGATCCCAGCGACTCAGGAGGCTGGGGCAGGAGAATTGCCTGAACCCGGGTGGCGGAGGTTGCGGTGAGCCAAGATCGCGCCATTGCACTCCAGTCTGTGTAACAAGAGCGAAACTCCGTCTCAAAAAAAAAAAAAAGAAGAAGAAGGGGTCTGGCCATGTTGCCCTGGACTTGAATTTCTGGGCTCAAGAGATCCTCCCATTTCAGCCTCCGGAGTAGCTGCTACTATAGGTTTGCATTTTCATGTCAGGTGGTTTATATATCTTTAATTGGTTACAAAGGTCATACAAGTACCCAACATAATAGTATCCTCGATTTTATCCTCTTAAACTGCAGACTACATTATTTACCATCTGGTCCTTGAAAAAAAATGTGGGGACTCTTTCTACTCCTTCCCAGACCTCAGTCAGGAAACAAAGCGCCAAGCCCGCTACCTAAACAAGCGCTCAGCCCAGAGAACCAAGACTCCTCTGTGGCCCTGGTGCTGCCTCCCAGCTCGCCGTCCAACCTGCCCTGGTGGCAGCGGGGTCCCCGTCTTCCCCGGGGAGCAGGGCTGAGCGCCCCAAGTGGGGTTGGCTGTGCCCGAGATGCCCCCAGGCCCCTTTCAGAGCGCCCCTGAGGCTCGGGCGGTGGCTCGGCGCGGGCAGCCCCAGCTATCGCGCAGGCAGAAATGCCACACCAGGGCGGCACAGCTCAGCAGGGCCAGGGCCATGCCCACCCCAATGGCCGCGTGGACCAGCGTGTGGGGGTTGGGCGGCACCACGAGGCGGCTGCAAGGCCCAAAGGCGGGGATGTCGACCCCCTCGCGGCCCTCCCCTCCAGCCTCGGGCACGGGGCTTGCCCCGGCCTCGTTAGCGGCTACCACACAAACGACATAAACGCCCCCAGGCTTCAGCCCCTTCAGCTCGGCTCTGCGGACCGTAGCGTTCAGCGGGGGTCCCTTCTGAGCAGCCTCGCTGCCGTCCCAGAGCAGCAGCCAGTAGAGGAGGACCGGGGAGGAGGGGGCACACCAGTGGACCATTGCGCGGCCCTCCTCGGCCACAATGCGCACTTCTCCCATGCGCGGCGGGTCGGGCGGCTGGGCAGGGCTGGAGAGTCCTGGGCACAGGCAGGCCGCCGGCCCGGCCCTCTGTAGCTCCTTGCAGGGCACCTGCAGGTGTCGGCAGTGGTCGTAGTCGCAGGGGACGGCTGACAAAAGCGGCCACGCCGTCTCAGTCTCATCTTCCTCCTCTTCTTCAAAGTCTTGAGGGGACAAGGGCTGACCTCTGGGAACCAGAAAGGTCACGGCCAGGAGCCACAGAAGGCAGGGAGAGCTCAGCATGGAGACTAGAAGGGAAGCGGTGGATAAAGCCTGTTCAGCCCGCAAGTGTGCCATGCCCCCTGCCTGGACACAATCTCTGGGGACAGGAAAACGCAACTGGGGACCAGAAGAGGAGAGATTGGAATGAGACAGATACACTCATGTGTCAACCAACTTGAGGCCAGGCTATGTGCTTGGTTTCAGACAAAAAACAAAACATGGTCTGACACATGAGGCAGATGCATGATCAGTATGTGTTAAGTATTAGAAACAGTTAATTAATAAAGTACTGGGGGAGAGAAGGGAAGGAAATGATTTACTTAGCCCAGGGAAGAACTGTAGGATATTTACGAGCTGCCACCCAGAGAAAAGATCGAAGCAAAACAAGTAGCAGGCCCGGGCCCCTAGGCTAATGCCTGTAATCCGAACACTTTGGGGCGGTCAAGGCAAGAGGATTACTTGAGGCCAGGATTCCAAACCAGCTGGGGCAACACAGTGAATCCCCATCTGTACAAAAAAAATTAAAAAATACTAGGTAGGCATGGTACGCATGCCTGTAGTCCCAGCTACTCAGGAGGATCAGTTGAGCCCAGGAGTTCAAAGCTGCAGTGAGCCATGATCACCCCACAGCACTCCTGCCTGGGTGAGACCTCAACAAAAACAAGTATTGGTCAGTGACACAAGCAAAAACCCAGAAAGGAGACAGAAGTGAGAAAACAGAAGGGAGAAATATTGTAAGCACAGCTATTTAAAAAAAAAATAGGGACTCTGGAATCCTCCCTCTCCACCTGCTATCTGTGCAAATCCTGTCCAAGGCGCCCTGGCCCCTGCCTGCCCGCCTCCTCCTCTCTGGCCCATAGCAGCTCCTCACCAGTGGGTAGGCCTTGATGCAGCGGGAATCTACCACCCGATGTCTGTGGTGTTGGGCTGAGGGATCTCCAGGATCTCAGGCCGTGCTGTCAGGTTGTATCTTCAACTTCAATGCTGTTTGGCTGGAAGCTTTTATAACCTTTGACTGTGATGTCACGACCTAGCTTCCCTCCTCCTTCCCTACCTCCTGGTGATTGCCAAAAAAGAGGGCTGCTCCCTTCAGAGGGACTGAGTCACGGGGCCAGGGATGGGGAAAGCCACATGCAACGGTTTCAGCTGGAGACCAGGATGCCTGGGTTCTGGAAGGCGAGTGGAATGTGGAAAGCAGCCAGGAGCTTAGAAGCCGAAGGCCGAAGTCATGTGAAGGGATGGGGAGGGGAACATAGGAGGCAGCCACCTGGCTGGTACCAGAGGAAAACAGCTGGGAACAGCATGGGGCTGAGCTGCAAAACGCTGTTTTGGTAAAAATCATACCAGATGCATGGCAGTCATTTCCTGTCTTCTGCCTCCCAATGGACAGAGAAAGGGAGGAAGGAAGGGGTGTAGAGGGGGCCAGAATGATGTCTCCCAGCTATCCAGACCTGCCCTACACCACCCCCTCCCCTGGGGGAGATGAGAGTCACGTGCAGGGAGTGGGAAGACTGCTATGGGCCGGGATAGCTTCTCCCTCCTTGGACTTCCTAGGCTTATGAATGGAAACATCTGTGCTTAAAATAGCCCAGATCTGGAGGCCTTCCCCATGAGTAGCCCTTGACAAGACCTCTTCCAATGGCAGACAGAGATGCCTGGGGGACACAGCATTTTCAAATGGCCCCGAATCCATTTCAGAGTCAAGGAAGAAGCTGACACAAAATAGTTTATTGAAGGAAAAATGAGGGGAGAGGGGTCAGGTGGGAAAGTGCTGGAATGTGAGGAGTCTGCCCTTTTCTTTAGGAACTAGAGCAGGTGGGGCGCTGGCGGAGAGCACCCCCAGAGAGTTCAGAGCTGCCCAGAGTCTCTGGGGCAGGGGCAGGAGCAGGAGCAGGAGCAGCAGCAGGCAGGTTGGCCTCAGTCAGCAGAGCCGCATCTTCCCAGGAGCCCGAACCTGGGCCAGGAAAGGGAGAAACAAAATCCCAAATGGGGTATTAAATTAACCGGAGGTCCCACCCAGGTCCTGCTGCAGGATGACCCTCACCATCACTGGCCTCAGGCTCTAGCTCCTCTTCTCCACTCAGGGGCTGCTGATCTGGTTTCTCCTCCTCAGACAGCTGACCCTCTGCAGCCAAAAGGGGAACACAGGGGTCAGACCCAGACACTGAAGGAAAGAGCCAAGGAGTGAGGAAGGAGAGAGGGTGGCACTATGCCATACCTGTCCCTGAGGGATCTTCCGGGCTCTCACCATCCTCTGTAACATCTGATTGCGGAGTTGACTCCTCCTGGCCTTCAGGCCCTGTGCCTCCAAAGTGGGAGAGGACAGGTTAGGATAAGGTGGCTGTGCCCTCATGGCAGTGCCAACCTCACCTCCCTCGCCTTTGATCCTTGTCTGTCTGTGATACCCTAAGCTTCATAATGGATGAAGCAGGGACTCCCTCTGACCCAGCCCAGCTCAACCCAGCCCACCTCAACAGTTCCCCAGCCAACACCTTTACCTGGCTGATGAGCAGAGGTCCTTTGTTGGACTTCCTTCCGGGAACCATCTCTTCTTCGGATGTTAACCTGTGGAAGAAAAACCACTGAGCAGCTGAGACTAACTTCCCTCACCAACAATCAGGGTCCTCATGACCTAACCCCCATACACTCCTGACCACCCACAAAGATCATCAAGGGGAGATGCCCTTTTCGACCTGTAAAGAGAAGCGGTGTCGGGGCCAGATGCCCCCCCACACCCACTGCATGTAGCTGAAGAGCACGATGACGCTGAGGAAGGTGAAGTTGCTGGCGACACCTATGAAGGCGCAGGTCATCGGGAAGTTGTACAGCAAGTATCTGAGGTAGGAAGTAGGGACAGGAGGGAAGTAGCAGTTACCAGAGAAGACCAGCCTTCTCATTTCCCAGAAATAATTTCTAGGGCAATTCAAGTGAGTTTGGCTACAGCCAGCTCTGCCGCCCCTGCCTCCCACCCACACAGTTCCCAGAACGTGTTGTATCAGGTTCTGACAAAGGCCAAGGACCTTGGGAAGTCTCTTGTGGCGGGACCATAGGCCACAGCCTCAATGTTGGCTGTCTCTCAAGAGTTACCCCAACTCTTGCTGAGCCAGCAGTTCAAGACAGTAGCTCTCAACTCTGTCAGCCCATCAGCACTCCTCGGGGTGCTTTAAAAAATTCTGTTCACTTGGGTGGAGCTCTCAGCCCTGAATGTCTGGGTGGATGGCAGGGTGGAGGGAAGATGGACAGGGCTGAGGAAGGGTGGAGAGGGCGGGGGCAAAACACAAATTAAAAATTCCAATGCCTAGACATGACCCTGACAAATTCTGGTTCAGTTAGTCTAGGAGGTACCCAAGGGTGTTTTTAAATCATTCCCCAGGGAGCAGACAGGCCAATGGGCAGCCAGGATTGAGAACCTCTGGCCTTTGTGAAACCCGATTCTGTAAACCCATTACCTCTGCTTGGAACCCTCTTGGTGGAAGGTCAGCCCCCATGAGAGTTGCCCAAGGTCCACTCCAGTGGCATCTCACCTGAGCCCAGTGAAGTGCGCGTGGATGCGGAGGTAAGCTCCATACAGCTGGATCCGCTTGCTGTGGATCTCAATGATCGCTCCAGTAGTTGGCACATACTTCAAGGGGGTGGGATGAGGGCGGCGTCAGGCCAGGGCCCTGCTGCTGGCACTCTTACCCACCCCATCTGAGGCCCGCTTCCAGCCTCTCAGGTGTGGTACCTCCTGACTGAGCCTGGGGGCTCCTCAGGTAGAATCCTGGGCTAGTGGGGAGGGACTGTCTCCTAGTCATTGTTCACCTCACTCACCGAGTTCTCTCTATAGTCTGCATAGAGCTCCACCTCTAGCATCTGCTTCTGCTCTGCAAAGCCAAACAGCAGGAGGCTAGAGAAGACCAGCGTGTCCAGCATCTGGAGCAGGTCTGAGCGGTAATGCAGCATCACCTGCCAGAGGTGGGAAAAGGAGAGGCTGGGGACAGGTGCGCGAGGTCCCCATGACCCTATCTACCCTTCAAACACCCCAGAGCAGTCTCCAAAGGCTGCTTCTTGCTCAGGTCCCTGGCTCCCTCACCTTCACTTCCTATCCCTCAGTCTTCACCCAACCATTCCAATTGCTTGAGTACCTTTCTCCCTACCCAACCACACTCTATTCTAAAGCAAAGGCTCTTCCTTCCAAGAAACCTTCCTAGATTAAGCCCAGCACTGTCTCCGATCTGCCTTTCCCACCAAGTAGTTTTGTAATCCAGTAAGGGATTTAAGTCCCAGTGTACCATCTGAAGCTTCCCCTTCTCAATGTAGACATCAGGAATTTGCTTCATGATGAGGTTCTATTGCGAATTCATTTAAGAATGGAGTCTTTTTTAAAAATTTATTTATTTATTTATTTGAGACGGAGTTTCACTCATGTTACCCAGGCTGGAGTGCAATGGCGTGATCTCGGCTCACTGCAACCTCTGCCTCCTGGGTTCAGGCAATTCGCCTGCCTCAGCCTCCTGAGTAGCTGGGATTACAGGCACACGCCACCATGCCCAGCTGAATTTTTGTATTTTTAGTAGAGACGGGGTTTCACCGTGTTGACCAGGATGGTCTCGGATCTCTTGACCTCGTGATCCACCCGCCTCGGCCTCCCAAAGTGCTGGGATTACAGGCTTGAGCCACCGCGCCCGGCCAAGAATGGAGTCTTAACATTTATGAGGCCAGACACGGTGGCTCGCACCTGTCATTACAGCATTTGGGGAGACCGATGTGGTTGGATCATTTGAGATCAGAAGTTCAAGGCCATCTTGGGCAACATGGTGAAACCCAACCTCTACTAAAAATACAAAAATTAGCTGGGTGTGGTGGTGGGTGCCTATAGTCCCAGCTACTCAGGAGGCTGAGGCAGGAGAATCTCTTAAACCCAGGAGGTGGAGGTTGCAGTGAGTTGAAATGGCGCCACTGCACTCCAGCCTGGGCGACAGAGCAAGATCTCTGTCTCAAAAACAAAAAAACATTAAACACCCACTATGTGCTGATAGGAATTTTACATGTCCCCACTGAATCCAAAGTAGTCCTTGCTATGAGGAAGTTACTATTATACCCATTTTATAATATCTTATGCCCAAGAAGTTAAGTCAGGTGACCCACAGCTAGCTTGTTTCTGAATAAGGACACAAGCCCATGTCTGTCTGGCTCTGAAGCCTGTTTTTGAGAGCAGCAGTATCTACTCTTCACACTTCACCCCAAAGCTGGGCGTGCTCATGAGATGGCTGGGATATTTGGCAAATGTTTCTGATTTGGTAAGTGAGTCCTCTTTTATTTTTTTTTTGAGATGGAGTCTTCTTCTGTTGCCTAGGCTGGAGTGCAGTGGCACGATCTTGGCTCACTGAAACCACCAACTCCCTGGTTCAAGTGATTCTCCTGCCTCAGCCTCCTGAGTAGCTGGGATCACAGGCATGTGCCACCATGCCCAGCTAATTTTTGTAGTTTTAGTCGAGACAGGGTTTTGCCATGTTGGCCAGGATGGTCTCGATCTCCTGACCTCATGATCTGCCTGCCTCAGCCTCCCAAAGTGCTGGGATGACAGGCGTATGCCACCATGCCTGGCCTGATTCCTTTCTTTATCCTGATGTGTCTGTGACCTTAGAGCCAAGGGTGTTTTCTCCTGAATCCCTACCTGGTTTTTTTTTTTTTTTTTTTTTCCTTGAGACAGTCTTGCTCTGTTGCCCAGGGTGGAGAACAGTGGCTCTATCTTGGCTCATTGCAGACTCAACCTCCCAGGCTCAAGCAATTCTCCCACCTCAGCCTCTAGAGTAGCTGGGACTACAGGCCTGTGCCACCATGCCCAGCTAATTAAGAATTTCTTTTCTAGAAATGGAATTCACCATGTTTCCCAGGCTGGTCCTGCATTCCTGGGCTCAAGCGATCTGCCTGCCTTGGCCTCCCAGACTGCTGGGATTATAGGCATGAGCCACCACACCCAGACCCCTACCCATTCTGATCCTGCCCCTTCCTCCATACCTTCTCACAAATACTTACGGAACGCGAAGAGGTGGAGATGATTCGGCCACCTCTGGTGTAGCAGGAAATGGTGACCAAGAACATGCCCAAATCTTGATTCACAGGGGACTCTGGCAGCTCGAGCTCTAAGGTAACACGATACGGCTGTCCGTACATCAGCACCTGCCCAAGGTAGCCCCCATTTATTTAAAAGAAAAATTTTGTTGAAAATGTATCATCCCTCTTCCACCTCCCTCCCAGCCCCCCAACACCCTCATATACTCTGCCAAAACCCTCTTGGGTAGCCTAACAGGCCTTTCAATCTCTCAAGAAGGTGCTGCCCCCTTCTGGTGGCTGGAGCCTCCCACGTCCAGGTCTTCTGTACCCTGTTGGCTACCCCATTCCCAGAAAGGCTGTGTCACATTTCTTTTCCAAAAGTGAACCATCACGTTGCCAACTGGGCCATCTGTGACTGTGTTCTATGTGCCGGTGAGGCTGTCCCCAGGGCCCAACCTGCCCTCTCTTACATTATTAATTAATCAAGCGCCGACTGCTCAGTCTCCCCAGCCAGCTCTGGCATAGCCATCCTTGCTCCAGATCATCTTTATGCCATTCTAGGTCCCTTATCTTAGC